GTGCCAGATTTACTGTACATCATTCATCAGTAGGAGATTCCAGGGTGACAACAATAAGTGCTATTTCAGTGGCACAGTATTAGGTTGTCACCCCATGCAAGGTAGTGCTGTCCAGGCAAAGTTTCTGGCAGGATCAACAGATATGTATTCCTATATTGAGCACTCACACATACAAATCACAGAGCTCATTGTGGAGGTGTGGGAGGGATGTCTTTGACAGTATAGAAGGTTTGGTTTACCCATATATATACTTTTAAAAACAACAATCATTTATCAAGGATATACTGTCCTATGACATATAGAAGGTTTGGTTTAACCCATATATATACTTTTAAAACCAACAATCATTTATCAAGGATATACTGTATCTACTCTCTGTAATCAGAAAAACCTGCAATAATAGTATTAATCATCATTTCTTGTTTAAGAGGTTTACCTCTCATATATTAGGAGACGGCTTTTCAGATGTTAGCGCAGTGCGGATTGCCGTTAATCATCATCGTAGGTGGGCAGTCATGAGCTCATCTTCAGCAGTGGGTGGCTCATCACCTTTCTTATCTGCCAGATGCAGCAGCATCTGTTATCTATCATGGTTATGTGCTCCTAATAATAACAAAGAGGATAGTGAACGTTGTGTTACCTTTGTATTCCAGGCCTGGAAGAGTGGGGCCATCATTGAAAACCAGGGGCCCTCATGTGACTGCATGTACCTTCCAGTTTGTTCCTGAGCTCCCTGAGAACCCCCAAACCAGGGGTGCTGTAATACACAAATAATGACTTGCTTTGTGACTGAATCCTTTAAAGTGTTTTTTTTGTGGTTTATGCCCAAGCGGCTTCCTCAGTTAGTTGACAGTGCAGTCATTGTCAGACTTCATGGGACCTCTGACTTCTTACTTTCAAGCTGTCCGAAACTGACTAATTAATATAACAAATATAAGGGGCAGACTGACAACTCATGGGGCCCCAAATGGGCAATAGGGATCATCGGGCCCCTGTTGAATACAGTTTTGGACCTTGCCCAAACTTAAAAAAGCCTATGAAAAAGGTACCAGGGGCATCTCATGGGGCCTCCTACTGACCCCGGGCCCTCGGCAGTGCCCGAGTTTCCAAATGGTCAGTCCGCTCCTGATAAGGGGACATACCGCGGAGCATTGCACATTAATAAAACAATTACAAATTTGTTTAAGGGCTCTTTTACTCAGACGTTGAAAATAGGCGGATGGGTCGAGTTTTTAATACGGAATGCCTATCAATGCCACTCATAATTGTTACAATAGGGAGCTGATGGAGGTGTTCACACTGCAGTGTAAGTTTGATGCTTCCTAAGGTGTCACTCTTGGTATGTTTCCAGACATTCTTGCAATCGTTCTTATAGACCATTGCCCTTCTTGTTGCCTTGCATTGTGGCGAGGCAGAAATAATGCTGCCTGCTGCCTTTGTAATAATCACATTTTGTTGCTTTGGCAGGCATTAACACTTTGCAACTGCCACCATTCACTTATAATGAAACGCAACACAGCTGCACCTTAAACGCACTGTAAATGCACCTATGGCATTTACAGTCCAGTTGCAAAGCATTCGAAGTGGTCATTTCCCATTTTAGCCTTGTTAAAAAAAAAAACCCCACACAGGGCATTTGAGAAGTGTTGCTTGATGCAACATGAACGCCTGTACAACACATCCTAAATGCTCTAGGTGTGTTAATGTGCCCTTTAGCCTGCTTTAAAATTTAACGCCAGTGTGAAGGAGCCGTAACACCTACAACATTGGCAAATGAATGAAAATTTGGAAGAAAAAAAAAAAAGGGAGGATAACACATAGACCTCTCCTTCAATCAAGGAGCTGTCTCTGCTATAATCAGAGAATTCCATGGAGCATCACAGGCTTTTCATTGCGGCCCACATTTAATGAATGGGCTGTAAAATGCGGGCCGTAGTGGAACTTAACATAGAATGGGTAACTTGGTCTGCTTTCCTTTATAAATATGCCCCAGCCTTGATGTTTCCTAAGTAATCCTGCATATGTGTGCAGCATATTTAGATTTTGCAGATATTAATCCCAGCCATGGCTGCTTCTCTTTCACTTTTTTTGCAAATCTAATGTTTTTACTGATTTTACTGAGTGTTTGGTATGGTGTTATGGTTAGCAGTGGGGTTTTATTTTTGGAACATGGGTGACTTAGTAAGTGGAGACAGATTCCCCCACGTCTGTCTCTCTGCTGTGCAGATAAAACATGCTGGATGGAAAGCCATCTGTTTATAGGGGTCATAGCCTTGCTCATTAATGATCAAGTGAATGTACTTTGGATAATAGTCGTAAGAGAAGTGTAGACTAAGATAGACTAAGCATCGTCTCTTCATTATGGGTAGTGCTTTCACTCACAGCTGGTACATGGATGGCGCATCATGGTCATTTGTAAGCAAAAAATAGAATTATTATTATTATACAGTATTTATATAGCGCCAAAAGGTTTGCTCAGAGCTTTACATTATAGTGGGGGATAGTACATGAGACAATACAGTAACAAAACAATACACGAGGGGTTCGAGGGCCCTGCTCTTTCGAGCTTACAATCTAGGAGGAATTGATTTGGGAGTTCGGGAACGTCATGCATTTCACACATGGACCATCAGACAGAATTGTGAATTGGTATTAATAAAATCAGATGTTTTCAGATGTGTATTTTTCAGAGAAATGGCTAAGGTGGTTGCAACTGTATTTTGGGGGGTCTACCCCTTTTTTTAATTCTGCATGGACCGAGAAGAAGGATTTAGACACTCTCAAAAGCTTGTATTCCAGTCAATGCTTAACCGTGTTTAGAAGAATGTCAAGTTTACTTGTTATTCTTGCTGTACATTCCCATCTGCCTGTGTTATCTCAAAATATAATAGCAAAAGAAAAAGTTAACTATGAAAGGGAGGGTACAGTACTCAGGAGACAGCACTTAATGCAGAGGCAGTACTGGTTTTCTACCATAATGACTTACTGCCTGGAGGAGTCAAAGGACGTAGCACATAGAGGAAGATGTATACGTATATTGGAGAACCTGGGTGGGGAGAAGTAGGGAAGTGATTGTAGATAATGATTCTGCATTATCTCTGAAGAACTCGACTAAGCATTATTTTCATCTAAACGGGTGCTTAGCTTCCCAGGTCTGCATACCTGATGTAAATAATAATAATAATAATTTAGCCCTGTTTCTCACTGATGCGGTCTGGAATTCGCAGCGTTTTCTGTGTGAATTCCACACCACTTTAGAATCGCACCCCGTTTATGCGAACCGCTGCAGGTGTGTATGTAAAGTTAACAACACCCCAAAAGCGGTCCGCAAAACCCTGTGCTATGTGCAGAATCGGATCGCATAGGTGTGAGTACCCATGCAATCCGATTCTAGTACGGACCCAAAAAAGGGTCCTGCACCTTCTTGGTGCGGATGCGGTGCAATTTGAGCCATGCATAATGTATGGCTCAAATCGCAGCGCACACAATTCGCATGTGATTTGCACAGGAATGCGGTGCGGTTCCTGTGCGAATCACATGCAATGTACCGCACTGCATTAGTGTGAACCTAGCCTTAAAGAGGGTTACAATCCCTTTGCCTGATGTTTATTTTATAATATGGAGAGTACAACAGTTACAAAGAGATTGGCTCATCCCTTTTCTAGTGGGAAGAATGAGACTTCAAGCCCAACTGCTATGAGAATGCTTAATTTAGTTTTGAATATAGTGGGGAAGGGTTAGTGGCCTGGTCAGGTTTTATTGTCTGTGTCTCTATTAGAGAGTTTACTATGTCAGAACTGGAGGGGCTGAAACCTACTCTTGCAATATGGTGGTGGTGGTGGTGTGTGTGTATACAACGCATGTTAACTCATGTATGGATTAGTGTGTGTCGTGGTGCCATTGATTTTAAATGGCACCCCTGCGCACTATGACAAGGCAGCTTCAACTTCACTGAATGGTATTGCACTACCCCGCATTATGGTGTGCTAAATTGGAAAAAATGTTGCCTTCCTGTGTTTTAATCCACCCCTGTGCATTGGCACCACTTTTAAAATGAATGGGCTGCCTTGATGCAATGCATGCTAATGTGTGACACAGTGAGCATCAGTGCACCGCACAGAGATGGAGAAATGTGAGTCCAACTGAAGTGATGGAAAATTGAACCAATGGGAACACAAACAAAAGAACATATTTTTAGTAAAGTATAGAAGGTTTAGAACTTTTGACACTTTGTTTTTATTGCTGCCTTGGTCTATCTTTCCCAATGACTATCACCAATCTTCCTTCCTATTTTTTGCATCACATGGGCAACAAGTGAGGGAAATACACTATATTGCCAAAAGTATTGGGACTCCTGCCTTTACACGCACATGAACTTTAATGGTATCCCAGTCTTGGTCCATAGGGTTCAATATTGAGTTGGCCCAACCTTTGCAGCTATAACAGCTTCAACTCTATGAGAAGGCTGTCCACAAGGTCTAGGAATGTGCTCATAGGAATGTTTCACCATTCTTCCAGAAGCACATTTGTGAGGTCAAACACTGATGTCGGATGAGTAGGCCTGGCTTGCAGTCTCCACTCTAATTCATCCCAGAGGTGTTCTATCAGGTTGAGGTCAGTACTCTGTGCAGGCCAGTCAAGTTCCTCCACCCCAAACTCGCTCATCCATGTCTTTATGGACCTTTTTTTGTGCACTGGTGTGCAGTCATGTTGGAACAGGAAGGGGCCATCCCCAAACTATTCCCACAAAGTTGGGAGTATGAAATTGTCCAAAATGTCTTGAAATACTGACGCCTTAAGAGTTCCCTTCACTGGAACTAAGGGACCAAGCCCAACCCATGAAAAACAACCCCACACCATAATCCCCCCTCCACCAAACTTTACACTTGGCACAGTGCAGTCAGGCAAGTACTTTTCTCCTGGCAAACCCAGACACGTCCATCAGATTGCCAGACAGAGAAGCGTGATTGATCACTCCAGAGAACACGTCTCCTCTGCTCTAGAGTCCAGTGGCAACGTGCTTTACACCACTGCATCCAACGCTTTGTATTGCACTTGGTGATGTAAGGCTTAGATGCAGCTGCTCGGCCATGGAAACCCATTCCATGAAGCTCTCTATGCACTGTTGTTGTGCTAATCTGAAGGCCACAAGAAGTTTGGAGTTCCTTAGCTATTGACTCTGCAGACAGTTGGTGACTTCTGCGCACTGTGAGCTTCAGCATGGGCTGACCCCGCTCTGTCATTTTACGTGGCCTTCCACTTTCATGGTTGAGTTTCTGTTGTTCCCAGTTGCTTCCACTTTGTTATAATACTACTAACAGTTGACCGTGGAATATTTAGTAGCAAGGAAATGTCACAGATGGACTTATTGCACAGGTGACAACCTATCATGGTACCACACTTGAATTCACTGAGCTCCTGAGAGTGACCCATTCTTTCACAAATGTTTGTAGAAGCAGTCTGCATGCCTAGGTGCTGGATTTTATACACCTGTGGAAATGGAGGTGAGTGGATCACCTGAATCCAATGATTTGGAGGAAGGCCCAATACTTTTGGCAAAATAGTGTACTAGCAGTGGGGTCACAGACAGTGATAAGATTTACAAAAATTGTAACACCTCCCCACTCTACCCAAAACGAGAAAAAACACACTTTTTCGGCTGAATTTAACATGGGTGAACATAAAACCTGATAGCATGACGAGGAGTTCCCAAGAGAAAATACGAGAGCAGGTTACTCTACCCGTGATTAAAATAGTTTTCGAGTGGACTGATCCTTTAGGTTGGTTTCACATTGATCCGATTTTCTTCTGCTTTTGCTTTAAAAAAAGTAGAAGAAAATTGTGTAACCATGTATTCCTATGGAACTCTTCACACTGATCCGTTGTGGGTCAGGTGTGCTTTTTAAAATCCTGCTTTTTTAGTGCAAGTTTGGTGCTCTAAAAAAACTCTCCAAGAGCGCATCTCCCAATTAAAATCAATGGAAAACGCTTCCAAAACCTGCGGTGTGTTTTTGATGCATTTTTGAGTCGCATGTCCTGTAAAAAAGTGGCAAACATGCTGTAAAATCGCGGTAAAAACACATATGCTTTTTTGTTGTGTTTTTGCTAGGATCAATGAGCCTTATCCTTGCTTTTTTTAACACTCAATGATGGATTTGCAATTTGTGGTGGTTGGGGCTTGCCTGGTATAGCAGTGAAAGTACGACTGGCAGCTTTGCAGCATTTGCTGTAGAGAAGAGCATTGTACACCTTGTTTGTCCATTAGGCGGTACGAGTTTAGTGATGATCTAGCACAGGGATAGCCGGTGTACCTAAAAAAAAATAACTGGTTGGTTAGTGGAGCCTTTTAGTTATTCTAAGTAAATGTGACTGTTCTGTTGAACCATCTTCAATGATCTTCTATCTCTTAGGGCTTATTCACAATGAAGGTTTTGCATGTATATGGCTGCATTTTCCAACATGACAAAACGCATACAGATAGAACACCAGTTGTTTTTTGTAGAAACGGCTCTTACCAATGTGTTGCGGAAACATTTCTAATGCAGTATCATGGGTGTAATGACCTGCATTTTGTCTTTTTGATATTAAATCCATAAAATGTCAAACCAAACACTTAAATCTGTCATATGCTTTAACGTCTTAATGTCATTTCAAAACTAATTTTTCAGTAGTTTTAATCTGCAGCTTTCATTGTAATACTAGGTGATCCTTTCCTGAAGGTCTTTTTGCAGGCACATCTTATAGGATGACAGCGTTCTGTCCCTGTCTCCCAGCTAGGCTCCTGCATTGTGACTATCACACAATATTCTAGTGGTGACTACAAATGATTGCGCTGGGCCAACACACATTACAACATGGTACACTGTTGTCAATTTTAGGAAACCCTGCATAAAAATGATGTGCTGCAGTAGCTGAGTTGCATATAGACAAGTGGCTGCTGAGATCCTGCAGGAGATCGAGCAACTCTGAAATGCATCAAAGGTGAAACTTTATTGTATTTTTAAAAAATGGCACAAAGACTTTAGCAAACTTGTCCAGTTATGGGTTTACATCTACATTAAATCAGCACAACACACATCAACACATGTAATACACCATAGTAATGGTGGTAGCCCAGATGTACTGAACTCTAGCTTCGTAACCCCGAGTTTTGGACCATTGTATTTGATGAGGTTTGATCGAGGTTTTCCCATCGGGCCAGTGAGTGACGTTGCTTATTCCTGTTGACTCATCACTGTAATGGCCATCTTTATTGACCAAAGCTCTCAGATTGCTGTGACCTGGAATTCAGGGCTCCCCAGCTGGAGGCACCACTTGGAGCCCTACAGGTTTTAGGGCAATGGTTTCTGTTATCGGGATCATAGAATTCATTGTCTAAAACAGTTTCTGCTTGCTGCTAGTTTAACAAAGAAAGAGAGTCATATAAATATTAGATTTTATGCATTAAAGTGAATGAAGGGGAGAGCACCAGCCTTTCCTATAGCAGTGACTCAGGCCTGTCCCTTTGTGCTCTGGACTTATATAATCAGCATTAGATTGACTGTTTTGGCCAATATCATGGGCTTTTCTTGAGATATTTTCAGAAATGAGATGTGATGTTTTTATCCTAGAATCCTGGCTGTACAGGATTGACCGTTGTCCCGTCTTATAAATAAACCTCTGGTAGAGGTTGGCTCTATAAATGGCTGTGGCTGCTACTATTTTCAGCATGTCTCTTCCAGTGTGCTGACTATTCCAGTCACATTCACAATCACGTGACGAGGTAAAGGAAAGGCTGCAGTGACATCACAGAGGCTCCGTCAGCTGTCACTGTGTCCTCCAGGGTGAATGAGACCTGCTAACTCATGATGAGCTTTCCCCTGATAAATGGGGAGAGGTGCTCGGATCTTCAGCAGAGCCTTCTGAGCCTACTATCCATCCTAATCCCCATCTCCCTGCCAGCTGCACCTGCGTCCAGGCCCTTGATGTCCGCGGATCCTTTTATCTCCTCTCACCCATCGCCCTGTGTAATTGGCAGGTTTCATACACACACGCTGCTAAACTGCTCGAGTGGGATTCATTTGTAAGCCTCTCTCTGTAGTTCACAATGGGCAACACTGAACAAGTGGACATGGCTTTGACATGTCTGGCGGATACAGGAGAAGCAATGATTCTTGTTGGGGTTTTTTTCATTTTCTTTTCAGACAGGCTGTCCTAGTTTTATGCTGTGTGTTTTTTATGATGAATCCTTAACCCCATCACAACATGGGTAGTTTTTGCCTTTGCTAACTGTGGTTTTGTAGAGAAGGCTGGCAGCAACATTACTTTGTAGGTGATCAGTGCAGAATGACAGTTGTGATAGCTTTCAGTTCCTATTATCTAGGACATCCATTCTCAACAAGGATTCCATGGAACCCTAGGGTTCCTCTGGAGGTTGTTAGGGGTTCCTTGAGTTGTGGTGGACTGACCCGCTGATTTAATGATACCTGCAAAGTCTTGGGTTCAGCAGCATGACACTAATGATCATCTTAGCTATCTATATGGATGGCAATCTCACCACCACTGTAATTGGTGGATTCTATTTTTTTTTTAATCAGGAAATATTTTTATTAGACCCTGAGATGGTACATACAGTACATGAATTGGTAAAAGAAAATATTGATGGTTCATCCATCTTAAGTGGGGCATTCTTGCCAATGGCCACCAATGTAAGAGGTATATATCACACTTACCACCAATGAATTGGTTTAATCAGGGATCCCCTAAGTCCTTAAAAACTATTTCACGGGTTCCTCTGGGGCAAAAAGGTTGGGGAAAGTTGCACTAGAACCTGTTAGTGGTAAGTTGGTCACCGTAAGTGTACAAAGCGTGTCAAAGTGCACATTGATCTGCAAGCCAACTTGTGGTCCATTTTACACTTTAAAAGCCCTGCCAATGAGCAGATACCATGGATATAAATGCCGCACCTGTGCCCCTCTCTGATTTAGTTTCACTTTACTTCGGAGGCCTCACTTTCCCTGATTTAATGGCTAAGCTACAGCATCTTTGAGTCCCCTTGTCAAAGAGTCTATTGACCATTGGACAGTGGAATTGCAGCTGGTATGGCTAAGTCATTATTATTTGTGCAGCTGCAATGCCTAAATGGTTAAGCTTAAAAGGGTTTTCCCCCCAAAAAAACCCCAATGCTTTCCATCACCCCCACATTGCAATGCGCAGATTTTAAAAAATCTTCTCCTTTTCTACTGTATACCCAGGTGCCCTGCATGACCTGTCTGCAAAAAAGCTCTTGGTGGTCAACCCCTCTCTGTCCTGGCTAAATGGTAGGGTTGGCCAAATGTTAGAAGTGCAGCCCCTATGGCCGCTCCCTGTTCGTTCAACTTCACCCGTACTTGGTGCACTCTCTCTCCCTATAGCGGCAGCTGCTGAGCTCCGGCTGTGCAGGACATAGAGGCAAGCAATGAGAAAGGGTAGCTCAGTGCTTACAATGTTCTTGGGATGATGCAATGGAGGATTTTTTTTTCTATAGTTTAGAAAGGTGAACAAACTCTTGAAAGTTTATCTCTAGTTTTGTTTACTTTTAGGTAGAATAGGGAGGGGCTAAACCTCCTATTAGATTTTTATTGCTGTGACCCCAATGGGGTTTTTTATCCTCTCTATTTGACCTGGTGATGAAAATAATATGAAGTTCAAACTTTTAGAAGTGCCATCAGTCTAATATGGGATTTTCCTCATCGTGGCTAGATTTCCTCTCACTTCTTATGGTGTCACTAAGGCAGGAAGTAGGGATAAATATCCACAAATAAAACAGCAATAAAAAAACTGGCCAGGTGTTTCAGTCTTTCCATACAATTTCCAAAAACTAGAAAAATAAGTTTTGGCTATAAATACACTAAAACTGATTTCCAGGGAAATTTCAAAACTACCTCTGCATTTGGGCCTCCTCTGTAAAGTGTTCATTTTTGTCTCGGTTGCTACATTTACTTGTCATATCCCTGGTTCCGACAGGATTCCTCCTCCCCCAAAGCTGCTTCTCTATGACGCTCTTTCGGTCATCGCACTCTGATGTCATCACTTGCGATGCAGGACCAGCAGTCCTGCATTGTGAGGGTGTACAGCCGGGAGGGTCGACAGAAAGAGGAAATCTCCAGCTGCCCAGGGTGCAAGGGATAAGGTAAGTAAAAACTGGTAACCTAGGCAAAATCAAGCATTTAATCCTTGTATTGAAGGGGGAGCCCCACTGACGGGGTGGTTTTTGAAATGTCCCTGAAGTCCAGCTTTAAGAACTGAGAGCTCACTTGTCAGTCCTAGACTAAATTTGCTTCCTAACCCGAAATTGGGAAAGAGGCTCTATTATCATAAGGCCTATTATCATAAGTAAAACTGGTACCCTGGGCAGAATCGAGCATTTAATCCTTGTATTGAAGGGGGAGCCCCACTGATGGGGTGGTTTTGAAATGTCCCCGGAGTCCAGCTTTAAGAAGTGAGAG